TGGGGCTTGAGGTGGGAGGAGGGGATAGGTGGGAGGAAGGACAGGGGAGGGAGGCGGGGACGAGGATGAGGACGAGCTGGGCTGGTTTTGGGATGCGGTAGGGGGAGGGGAGATTTTGAAGCTTGTGAAATCCACATTGATACCATTGGGCTGCAGGGTTCCCAAGCGGAGTATGAGTTGCTGTTCCTGCAACCTTCGGGTGGCATCGTTGTGGCACTGCAGGAGGCCCAGGATGGACATGTCGTCTGAGGAACGGGAGGGGCAGTTGAAATGTTTCGTGACTGGGAGGTGCAGTTGTTTAGTGCGAACCGAGCGTAGGTGTTCTGCAAAGCGGTCCCCAAGCCTCCGCTTGGTTTCCTCGATGTAGAGGAGGCCACAACGGGAACAGCGGATGCAGTATACCACACTGGCAGATATGCAGGTGAACATCTGCTTGATGTGGAAAGTCTTCTTGGGGCCTGGGATGGGGGTGAGGGGGGAGGTGTAGGGGCAGGTGTAGCACTTCCTGCGGTTGCAGGGAAAAGTGCCAGGTGTGGTGGGGCTGGACGGGAGTGTGGAGCGGACAAGGGAGTCACGGAGAGAGTGGTCCCTCCGGAAAGCAGATAAGGGTGGGGAGGGAAAAATATCTTTGGTGGTGGGGTCGGATTGCAGATGGCGGAAGTGTCGGAGGATGATGCGTTGGATCCGGAGGTTAGTGGGGTGGTACGTGAGGACAAGAGGGATTCTTTTTTGGTTGTTATTGCAGGGAGGGGGTGTGAGGGATGAGTTGCGGGAAATGCGGGAGACACGGTCGAGGGCGTTCTCGACCACTGAAGGGGGGAAGTTGCGGTCCTTGAAAAACGAGGACATCTGAGATGTACGGGAGTGGAATGCCTCATCCTGGGAGCAGATGTAGCGGAGGCGAAGGAATTGGGAATAGGGGATGGCATTTTTGCAGGAAGGTGGGTGGGAGGAGGTGTATACGCTCGGTTCGCACTAAACAACTGCACCTCCCAGTCACGAAACATTTCAACTGCCCCTCCCGTTCCTCAGACGACATGTCCATCCCGGGCCTCCTGCAGTGCCACAACGATGCCACCCGAAGGTTGCAGGAACAGCAACTCATATTCCACTTGGGAACCCTGCAGCCCAATGGTATCAATGTGGATTTCACAAGCTTCAAAATCTCCCCTTCCCCTACCGCATCCCAAAACCAGCCCAGCTCGTCCCCGCCTCCCTAACCTGTCCTTCCTCCCACCTGTCCCCTCCTCCCACATCAAGCCCCACCCCCATCTCCTACCTACTAACCTCATCCCGCTCCCTTGACCTGTCTGTCCTCCCTGGACTGACCTATCTCCTCCCTACCTCCCCACCTACACTCACCTTTACTGGCTCCATCCCCGCCTCTCTGACCTGTCTGTCTCCTCTCCAACTATCTTCTCCTCTATCCATCTTCTATCCACCTCCCCCTCTCTCCCTATTTATTTCAGAACCCCCTTCCCCTCCCCCATTTCTGAAGAAGGGTCTAGGCTCCTATGATGCTGCTTGGCCTGTTGTGTTCATCCAGCTCTACGCCTTATTGTCACTAGATAAATTTGTTGGGCCATTGTACAAGTTTGCTTTGGCTTTTAAAATCTAGAACCTTGGTGCCAAACTCAATTCAAATTCATTATGATGATGTTTGAAGGGTTTCTTCTAGTGTCACTGGAAACTTTCTGCTCCTATTATTGAATTGGATTTCTAGTTTTAGCTACATTGCTACTCTACTATATCTTGCAGCAGCTAACTTAAACCATAATTGGAAAAACACATCCATACAGTCTACTGCAGGAATATGTAACCCAGTTAAAATAGGAACAGTTTGCTTCCTTCAGAGAGTGGTCACAAACCCAGTTTGTGGGTGTAAAACAGCTACTAAATTTTGAACCTAGACAGCCAGAGATTCTAACATAACTTGCTTGAAGATCAGCAGCTCTTTGCTTGCTCTCTCTTCCTCCAAAACTTCCCTCATCAAAACGTGTAAGCCAAAAACCCAAAAGGCGGCCATTTCACCACTTATGAAGAATTCATGAAGAAAACGTCAGAGTCCACCACTACAGAAAAGAATTTAGCCAGCTCCAACTGATCCAGGAAGACTATAGCAACAATAGCTTGTATGTACAAAGTAGTTTCAGCTACAGATCAACATTAGTGACTACCAACGAACGACTCTTTTCTCCCGAGTTTAACTGTCGGTGAGCCACAGGAAAGTCTGCAGAGTTTCATATTTTTGCTTAGACTTGGGGTGTGTATGTGTTTTGTTTTCAAAAAGGGTTGATATATGTATACTGGCACAGTCTAAACCTTCTGTTAATAGTCAGCATCAATACATTTTCTTTCTCATAATCTAGTTATTAAGTGCTAACTAAATAAACGTGGCTGACTTGTTTCTGATTCTGAACGAAGTACAGTCTGATTACTTTATAATTGGCAATATCACTGTCGTTCTTAAATTAAAACTTTGTAACAACCAGTTGAGGAGTGAGATGAAGAAAAGAATAAGTTCATCTCTTCAAACTCAGTCATACCATTAAATTATACCAGAAAATCAGTTGTGTTTAGCAAGTTATAAGATATATCTCACAACTGGTCCAGACATTTCATTCCATTTTTATTTTCTGTCCAAGTTAACTTCAGATGTTAGGTATGAATTCAATGCACACAAAAACATTATAGTACTTGCCATATGGTGACCGAGGGTAGAAAGGGGTAGTCTCCTTTTGTGGAATTTCCTGTACTTTGCCAAACAGTTCACTGGTCGAGGCTTGATAGAACTTCACTGTATTTATAAGGCCACAGGTTTTAATGGCATCCAGAAGTCTAAGAGTCCCAACACCATCAACATCCGCTGTATACTCTGCTAGATCAAAGGAGATCTAAGAGAAATTTGAATTAAAGGGTTACTCACAGTTTGGAGTTGTGTTGCAAAACGCTACAAAAGATATGGGCTTATTTTTTTAAAACAACATCAGTCTAGCAAGTCCAATAATATTTGCATTAAGCAAAACCTACTTTTCAGTTGAAGCTGCATGAAAAGCAAATGTGTACCAGTAACGGAACTGACAGGCTGTTCTGTGGCAGGAAACAAGACTCTTAAGTAGTATATTGCCTCCCTGGTGCCTGAGTCAGGGATGCCTCAGAGTGGCAGCAGGGCATTCTAAAGGGGAAGGGTCAACAGCCAGCAGTCGTGATACATGCCAGTACCAACAACATGGGTAAAAAAAAGAAATTAGGTCCTGCAACAGGAATTTAGAGTTAGGTAATAGTTTAGAGAGGAAGACCACTAAGGTTGTAAACTCCAGACTACTTCCAGTACCACATGCTACTGAGTATAGGAATAGGAAGATAAGTCAGATGAATGTGTTGCTCAACATATGTTGTAGGAGGGAGGGCTTTAGATTTTTGGATTACTGGCACAACTTATGGGACCTCTGCAAGCTGGACAGGTTGCACCAGAACTCGAATGGGTCCAATATCCTCGCTGGAAAGCTTGCTCATGCTGTTTGGGTGGGTGGGGGGGTGATGTTGTGTGGTGTTTTTAAACTAATTGGGCACAGAGTAGATGTAAAATCGGGAGCAAGGTCCTATCAGTTGAGCAGGCTGAGAAGACATGGGTATAAGGCACATGGAAGGTCCAGAAAGCTAAACCGTATCTACTTTCAGGTTTATGACTGGTAAGCAGATGAATTTAGAGCTTTGATCAGCATGTGGGAATATGTTGTTGAAATCACTGAGACATAGTTGAAGGAAGGTCAGGTTAGAAACAAAAAAAAAAGGGGCACTTATTTTGCTGGGATTGAACTACTGTCGGGGAGAGACAGAGATATATAAGCAAATCACAGAAAGTTGAGAGAAACAGGATTACAATTATAGACGATTTCAACTTTGCTAACAGTAACCGGGATTGACCTAGTGTGGAAGGACGAGATGGGGTGGAATTTTTCAAGGGCACCCAGGAGAGCCATTTCTGCCAATACATAGATGGTCTCCTAGAGATGGGGCAGTGCTCGAACTAATCCTAGGGAATGAAGCCAATCAATTGGTTGAAGTTTGTGTAGGTGAGCATTTTAGAGATAGTAACCATAACTCTGCAAGTTTCAAAATCATTCTGGAAAGGGATATGCATGGTGCAGAAATTAAGTGTCTAAATTGAGTGAACGCCAATTTCAATATCATTAGATAGGATCTGGCAAACAGACTCAGGGCAGCTTCTTGAAGGTAAGTCTACATTTGGAATGTGGGTGTCTTTTAAAAGTAGAAGAGGGAGAGTTCAGGGCCAGCATGTTCTTCTAAGCGTGAAGGATAAGGACAGCAAGTCCAAGGCACCCTGGATGTCAAGGGATATTGAGAGTTTGATAAAGAAAAAGAAGGAAGCATATGTCAGATACAGCATATTAAAACAGGGGAGACCCTTCAAAATTACAGAAAGTGTAGGGGTTTTTAAAAAAATAAATTAGGAGGGCAAAGATGGGCCACAATATATCTTTGGCAGATAGGATTAATGAAATCCCAAGGCATTTTTACACTTATGAGTAAGAGGATCCCCAGGGGCCTATTAGAGACCAAAGGGCAATCAGAGCATGGAGCCAGTGGATGTAGGTGAGATCTTAAATGAACATTTCTCATCTGTACTCACAGAGGAGAAAGTCATCGTAGCTGTAGATTTCAGTTGTCATGGTAGCTGTAGATTTCAGTTGTCATGGTGAGGTTCTAGAACGTGTTAAGATTAATAAGGAGGAGGTAGTAGACATTTTAGCAGGCATAAAGGTGCATAAGTCCCCAGGGTTTGATGAGATGGATCCCAGGCAGCTATTGAAGGCAAGGGAATAGAGTGCTGGGGCCCAGGTGGAAATACTTGATACCTTGCTGGCTACAGATGAAGTGCCTGATGTCTAGAGGAAAGCTCATGTGATTTCTTTGTTCATGAAGGTAGCAGGAATAGGCGAGGTAATTATAGATCAGATAGTCTTACATAAGAGGTGGTAAATTATTGGGAAAAATTCTGAGGGACAGGATTAATCAACACTTGGAAAGGCAAGGAAAATAGACATAGATCAGGTATAATCAGCATGGATTTGTTAGAGGAAGATCCTGTCTGACTAAATTAATTGAGATTTTTGAAAAGGTAATTAAATATATTGATGAGGGGTAGTGCAGTTAATGTGGTTTATATGGACTTCGGGAAGGCCTTTGACAAGGTCCCACATGAAAGGCTGGTCCAAAACTTAAGAGCCCATGGGGTCCAGTGCAAGTTGGCAAACTCGATCCAAAAGCGGTTTACAAATAAGAGGCAAAGGGTGATGGTGGAGGGTTGTTTTTGTGATTAGAGGTCGGTGACCAGCGTGTACCACAGAAATCAGTGCTGGGACCCTTGCTGCTTGCTATGTACATTAACAACATGGGTATGAATGTAAAATGTATAATTAGTAAGTTTGCAGATCACACGAAAATTGGTGGTGTTATTGATAGTGAGGAGGATGGTCTCAGGCTACAATCAGATATTGATCGCTGGGTAAATTGGGCTGAACAATGACAAGTGGAATGTAACTCTGATAAGAACGAGGTGATGCATTTTGGGAGGTCTAATAAGAGAAGGATTTATACAATGAATGGTAAGTCCCTGGGGAATACTGAAAAATAAAGGGACCTTGGTGTACAAGTCTATAGATCTCTGAAGGAGTTAGCACAGATAGACAGGGTGGTGAAGCAGGCTTATGGGATGCTTGCCTTCATTAGCTGGGGTATAGAATATAGGAGCAAGGAAGTCTTGTTACAACTCTATAAAACGTTAGTTAGGCCACAGATGGAATACTGTGTGCAGTTCTAGTCTCCACACTATCAAAAGGATGTGATTGTACTGGAGAGGGTGCAAAACAGATTCACCAGCATGCTACCTGGGATGAAAAGTCTCAAATTATGTGAGTCTGGATAGGCTGGGTTTGTTTTCCTTGAAACAAAGAAGGCTGAAAGGGGATCTGATTGAGGTTTACAAAACAATGAGAGGCATAGGCAGGGAAGATTGTGAGAATCTTTTCCCCATGGCAGATGTGTCTAAGACCAGATGGCACATGATTAAAGCGAGGGGTAAGCATTTTAGAGGGAATATGAGAATTTTTTTTTCACCCAGAGGGTGGTAGATATATAGAACATGCTACCTGAGGAGATGCTGGAGGAAGGTATTCTTGCAACATTTAAGCAGTATCTGGATGAGTACTTAAAATACCAGAATATAGTAGGCAATGGACGAAGTGCAGGTAAATGGAAGTAGTGTAGTTTGATGTTTGTTGGTCAGCATAGGCATGGTGGGCCAAAGGGACTGTTTGTATGCTGTACGACTCTGTGACTCTAAGGTTGAAAGAAAAGAGTAGCGTCAGTGTTTGTTTAGTGTTAGTAGCAGTATTCTCGCTTCTGAGTCCTTGAGAAGGCAGGGGTAGCAATGGAAATCAGAGGATTCCCCAGATTTTTTTTCTCAAAATTGGCCTGGGTTTACATTCTTATATTTTTGCTTCCTTGGGAAGACCTCATGGTTTTTGAGTGTGGTGGACAGGGTCTTTTTTCATATTCATTCACGGCATGATGGCATCACTGGCTGGGTCAGTATTTATTGCCCATCCCTAATTGGCCAGGGGGCAGTTTAAGAGTCAATCACATTGCTGTGGGTCTGGAGTCACATGTAAACCAAACCAGGTAAGGATGGCAGTTTCCTTCCCTAAAGGGCCATTACTAGAGCAGATGAGTATTCCCAACAATTGACAATGATTAGACTCTTAATTACAGATTTTTTGTTGATTTCAAATTCCACCATCTGCCATGGCAGGATTCAAAACCAGGTCCCCAGGGCACTATCTGAGTCTCTGGGTTAACAGTCTAGCGATAATATCACTAGGTCATCGTCTTCCCTAATGTTGTGATACACCAAGCAACACCTTATGTGGAACAGCATCAATGGTCAAAAGAAACCTCTGTTCATCATTACTTGAATTTGTATAGGCATAAGACATCAGCATTTTACATGTGCTACATACACAATAATCAACTTAGAATGGGAGGAAGAATATAGGAGTAAAAATGCATTAAAGATAGTTTGAAAGTCAATACGTTGTAGCTTTTACAGTGTACTTACCTTTGCTGAAAGATAGCCCTATCTAAATCAATATCTTCACTATTTTAACAACCAGAGCAATCGACTGGCTTAGTTTATTTTAACATCCATTTAACTTTTATGAATTTGGATTTCTCATCTTAAATGCATTAATATGTCAACCTAATCCCCCAGTATTCATTTTTGTTGAGAGCTAAAGTTACTGCCACAGTCTACGTTCTCCATTAAGTATGTAATAACAGACATAGAATTTACAATCCAGTATCTATTTGGCTAACCATTTGTCCTCCAACTAGATAAATTTTTTTTGGCCTGAAACAGGGTCTTCAATCTTAATTCTTTTTTAGGAAGTGGTTAAGGCACCAATGAGTTTACTGCCACAAACAGGCATCAGCAGTCAGCAAATGGCTTGCTCGGGTTAGCACCTATTTTCTGTCTACCCACACTTTTATTAGACTTCATGAGTGGAATGTACAGATCATCAGATAACAGAATGAAATGGACGTCTGTGAGAGATAAAACTGCACGTGAGAATCGGATTGTCCATAAAACTATGTCAAAAAAGTATACCCTTCTCATCATTTCCCCTTATCTCTCAGCCATTCATTATTAATTTGACGGAGTAGGGGAGCTGTCAAGGCTCTATGGCACTAGCTGTTTATCTTTCATTACAATCTTCAACCTACTGTTCACAGTTTCTGCCGTTTTGAAATGGCACAAAAGCTACCAGTCAGGACTTTATGGCTTTGCACTAAAGATCACAGGCTGCTTGAA